AGGACAAAGCTTCGAAGAGCAACACTTCCAATTTTGTTGGATGGCATAGAAACAGTAGAGTTGGTTCTATGGTCTAAGCAAGTGGTGCGAACAGGGCCATAAACTTCACCTATATTGTTTGAGTTGTTTATGTTGTTCAGGTAGTGCTGGACGGGTTCGTTGTTAGGCTTTACGATGGCAGTTGTCATGGATTGTAGTTGATGATTGTACCGGGATTTCTTGTTTGGACATGAATTGGCAAAATGAGTATTACCTCCACAATAGCTGCAGAGATTGTTCTTTCTTCTGCGCTCTTTCTCTTGTGGGGTCAAAGGGCCACAAAAGTTGTTTGTGGTATTGGTTGTGGCTGCATTAATAGAGCCTAATTTTATGGGGGTGGCAGCGGACGAGGTAGGAATCGAATGCCAAGATTTGATTTGGTTCGTTGGTTGGGCACTTTGATTTGGACTGGAATAATTACCGTGTTGATGATGACTGTTTGTATTATTAATTGCTTTTAAGCCAGTGAGGACGTTGTCAATGTTGATTGCCTTGTTAATACGTTTATCCAGTTCTGTAAACGGTTCACATCGGGCGAGTTCTTCTTGGATGGTGGGCTTTAAGTTCAAAATTATCTGAGAAATTAAAGCATGAGGACCGCATTTAAGTAGCATGGATAGTCTTCTAAAATCCGTAGCGTAAATGGAAACAGCTGATGTTTGTTTTAAAGCACGAATAGCAGTGTCGGCTGTGACGGTCGGGTTGGAGTCACCCAAAGCAGTGGTGATTGTTTCTTGAAAAATGGTATAGTTTTTCAGCAGATCATGTTGGTTTTCGACTGGTAAATTTATTTGAGCCAAATATGGTTCCATAAAAACAAAGGCATTACCATAAAGATGAGAGATGGCGAAAAGAATTTTGTCACGATCAGTTTTGAATTTACTTGATCTGCTGCAAAGCAAATGGATAGCCGGACAAAGAATTAATTACAGTGGGTAGCTTTCCGGTAAAAGGTTTGAGGGTCTCTATCTTCAATTCGGAAATTCGTAGAAGCCGTTACGGTAGGATTGAATTTAATATGAGTAGATGTGTTGGCATCGGGATTGGGACCATTATCAGCAGTCTTCAATACAAGATTGTTGTTAATGAAGCTGTAGACGTGAGCTTGGAAAGAACAAATTTGTTGTTCGGTTTGCTTTGTAAGGCCAAGAACGTTATTTTCTAATGTCTCTTTAGCGGTGGTATTATCCTGTTGGATGCTTGATAAATTTAAATTTATTTGTTTCAACTGGTGAGGGAGTGCATCTTGAAGAGCGTTGAAGCGGTTAATTAAATCTTCTAAGATTAGGAGATACTCGGGTGAAAACGACATGTGGTACAGATGCCGAGATACGAGATACAACATATGAGAAAAGAGACAAAAAAGTATGAGTAAAGAGGTTCTTTTTTGGATCTGATATAGTGTCAGGAATTAGCCGGATGTTACTTGGTACGAGGACAGGTCTCTTTATACTTACAAGGCGAGGCTAGGTACAAGGTAGAACTATATGGTTGCGAGAAGAAAAACAAGAAAAGGTAGTAAAGCTAAAGGTTTATCTAACAATAATAATAAAGATATACAAGATATCCGATAAAGATCTGTACTTGTCTTAATAATCTAAGGTATTTATAATAAACGTAAGATAGTCTTAAGGACTATTTTTTTAATGTGAAGGATCTTTTGTTAAGGCCTTGGGGAAGGTCTTGAGGCTAGGAACTGTGGCGGGATCATGGGACGAGGGTGATGGCGTATATCGGTTTGGCCTTGAGGCGTGGTCCTATGGTGGTGACTCGTGATGGGTCTCATGGTGGTGTCTGATGGTTTGGTCACATGAGCTGTCAAACATGATCGGCATATACGAGCAGATCTATGTCCGGGTTGGATGTATGCGTGTATGCATTAAGGTATTGACCACGTGGTTCGTGACACAAAGAGACTTGTGAATATGCCAATCGAACTAAAACAATTCTCATGATCAACCTCAAGAAATTTAAAATGCAAGTTCTTCAGTAACCACATTAGAAAGAATTGAAACAATTAGTTTTGACGAAGCCTAAGCAATCATAGTAGAAAATATGAGAACTGTACAAAGCTTGAATATGTAGTCTAATTCTTTGTCATGATTAAAGAGAGTCGTAAATGAGTCAATGTAGGCTTCACGTACTTATGAGAAACACTTGCAAAATTTACTTGCACTCTCCGGTATAATGTACGTTGAGAAGAAGTTTATTTATCCCGGATCGCAAAGTTATTTCGACAAGCCTTTAAAGACAATGCGCCAAAATATGTATAATACCTATGATTGCAACCGAATGAATTAACATTTCCAATCGATACAATGATGATTTTAATAAACACGAGGCTTTTTCAAACCAAACCTCCGTTTCGGTAAAAATTTTGACCTTCGCTGCGCTGCGGTAAATTTTTGACCTGCACTATGGTTCGGTACGCTGCGCTTTGAAAAAGCCTCGTGCTGCCGCAGGCCTGTTTTTGAAATCAAAAACTTAACATATATTAATTAACTATGAAGCCCACGCGCCATTATAGCTTAAGCTACACTGCTGGTTATCAGTTTGACACTGGAGAAAACTTTGATGTTTCTCATTACATGTTTAAATAAAAGACGATATCCCTAGACCCAGGTTAGAAAGTTAATGTACGCAAAAAATTATTAATTGTTTATATATCTGATTAACTATTTAATGGGCAATGTTTTTGCTTCATAATGAAAGACTTCATAATCCAAAATATTAATTTCAAAGGTGACCCCTCCATCGACCTAAAACAAACAATTTTTCAGTTCTTCTCGAATAATAACATATTGTTTGTGAAAACGTGTTCATAGACTGTTTTTCTAACCTCGATAATATAATGTTTAATGCTATTGGCTGCTATACTGGGGGAAAGGGTAACCTTTGCCACAAAATCTCCATAGTTACTTTTTTTTGAATGACTTTTTCAGTAAAAGTCACTTTTATATTATGACTATCTCCAAAATAGTCAATTTTTATATACGCTCTTTTTTTCAGTTTAATGCTTAATGTTATGGGTCGTATTCTTCGAAGGAGGGTTTTTCCCAGCCTCTAATTTTGTACCTCTGCTAAAAAATATTACGAAGTAAAAAAAAATAACGCTTTAAAAACATAGGGCTGTAAAAAAATTCACGGTATTAAAAAAAATTATACTTTAAGATATTATGCTGTAGAAAAAAAAAAGGAACATTGTTTTTCAGAAGGTAACAATTTCATGCTAATACTATGGGCCGTATTTCTGGGTGGAGGGGTTCCCCCTCCCCCCAGACCCCCCTTCCCTCTTGCGGGGGAAACCCCCGCACCCCCAATTTTTTTTTATCACTGCTTAAAAATTACACTGCTAAAAAAAATCAAAAAATAATGTTTTATAAGATATAAGCTCTTTCATGCTAATCCTACGGGCCGTATTCTTGGGGGGAGGGGTTCCCCCTCCCCCCAAACCCCCCACCCCTCTTGCGGGGGAAACCCCCGCACCCCCATTAAAAATCCTAACTTTTGTAACTTTTGTGACTGAAAATTAGCTAGCCTTGTGACTGCGTAGTTACGATTCGAGTAATTTTAATATAATAATTACCAACGATCTCAACGGTGATACATTTCCATTGATTTAAGAAGACTGAAAAATCTTAACACTGATTATCTACAACACAGATCAAATTATGATTAGGATGTCACAATCTGTCCACGCGATGGTTGAGTAGCTTCCGCTCACAAACCAAACGAAAGCAAGTAAGGGATTTAAACTTTGCACAAGATACCTGCAACCCTGTTTCCAGACATTGTTTAAATGTGATCAAGATCAGTTTATATTCAAGTGGTTGAATAAGAATTGTTTTGTATGGAGAACAAAATTTAAAATAAACCAAAAGTAATACTGTTAGAACTTGGATACCACTTTATAATGGACAAAAAAAATAATTAAAAAACCTGTTGATGGTCTACGTGAAAGAATTATGGACATTTATATAAAGAAGTGGGAGAGTTATACGGAGAATATCAAGCGCCTTATTGGATCATGATGTAATAACCTGGTGATAATAAATAATCAACATATTCAAATTCGGTCCTTCCATAACGAGTATATAAATATTAGTCAGCCTGATCAACAGTTATAACATCAAATGACAAGAGTAACATTTGAGCTCAGGATCTATTAATATTCTATAGTCCAGGCCCATTCGATTGTATTGCTTTTTGCAGAATAAATATTTACTCGCCACAGGGCTGTGCCCTGTGTACAGACTTCAACGATAGGATGAGAACAAATGCGTTAATGTGTGATTTATGATTAACTTTTATATTTATTATCCATCCTTAATTTGATGTGACAATTAACTTTATTATTATCTATGATATCCTCAACACAAACAACAAACAGAAAACCTTTATTTTTCCCGTTTTTATTATTATTTACAGACAAGCCGAATCAAATTGAAGCATAAAATTCCATATCTTCAAGCTTAGAAGGTTATCGATTCTCGTTTTCAGCGGGCCCTTTAGGCCCGATTTGTATTTTTCAAAAATTAATTACGTAATTTTTGAAAAATTAATTAAGATTTTTGCGATACCCCCAGACGTGGTTATACAGCCGATACACTCACTAAAAGTTTTTATATTTGTAGGTAAACGAGTGGACTCGGGTACACTTACTAAAATAAAACAGCCACGCTACAAATGCTAATTGCACCCATTTCAATCACCCAGGCAAAACTGATAGGATAAAAAAAATGATGACGTTAAAGCTGGCGCTTTTTTTTTTAAAAAATACTTGTTCTTTAATCTTTCAATCTTCCACTTTTATTACTTAAAATTAAAAATGAACACTGATAAAGAAATCCTGATACAACTCGAAAAAACAATTGCGGAGCGACAACAAACGTCTGAGACAATCAATCAAGACGCGAATAATGCCAAAGAGAAAACGAAAGAATTATTGTCCTGAAAAGATTGTATTTGGAGGCTTACAAGGAACTTTGGGGGAGAAATCACTCTTCGTTGGTTATGAAATGAAACTCGCTGAATGGAAGTCGAAGTGCATTGCCTTCTTATCTCGTAACGTTATTATCGACTTTAGTAACACTACCCAACTTAAAGCCATCGGCATTAAATTCATCCGACTGAACAACGGATTCCGAATTAAGATTAAAAGAGTAGAGCGTGATATACAACAAATGAATAGTGGTACCAAAAAGGTAATATAAACAGCATAATATACTGTTTAAAAGATGTTTACAAATTCTTAAAAACTCTTTAGATCGAAAACCGTAGTAACGGTGAAACGGTTTTGAAGGATGCTGAGGTTTTCGTCTATGCAAATTCAAATGAAAGGGTATCAAAATAATATATGTGCATATGTAGGTTATAATACAATGATATATAAACGATATATTGATATAATATCTATTCTACATAGCGTTGAACAAGTTGTGAACAAACCAGTATTATTCTATGGTACTTCACAGAATCAATTCTCAGAGACATCTGTAGCAAAAGTATGCTTAAAGAGGATAGTTTTGCAGAAAAAAAAAAGGTATAAAAAAACAATAGGATCAATTAGAATTCTTGTCAGAGTTTATTGATGTTAAAGTTAACTAAAGATTTAAGAAGAGGAAAAAGTAAAGAGTATTTATAATAAAGGGAATGGACGAGGCTGACGATACTACTCTTAACAATATGAGTATGCTATCAATAACAATATCTATATTGGACAATTAGTACTACGCATAGTCAATAGAGAAATAATAACAATAACATGTCTTGAGTTTGGACATTGGTGTTACGATACCGCGACACTTTAAAATAGTGACCGGCTTTAGCGAGTTCCTTTTTTACGCCTGATCATGATTTAGCTATCATTTATCAGTGATGATGAGATATGAATTTATTATATGTATAATCTGTATGTGTGATTTAGCACAACATCTATTTTTTGTTAAATTCTGCGGTCTAGTTATCGAACTTTTCTTTAACATAAATGAATACTTCATACAACGATAAGTTACAATCTGTATTTTTAGTTAAGATCATGCATAATCATAATAACCACTTCTGTAGGGGTGATACCAATTCACGACATTTGTCTGTGTCAAATTCATATTTAAATTGGACTTCAGAATTATTGTTAAGGATTTCCATAATAATGAATTCGACATCACTACTGGAAAGCTGGCACGGCATTCGTCAACAACTCCTTCAAAAATGTACAGAGATTTTTTAAAGTCTGCATTAACTACTAAGGTACATCTAATTACAATATCAAAACGAATGCCGTATATCCCGGAAAACAAAATACAAAACGTTGTTATCCCAATGGTTCAAATAATGGGATTATCTTGTGTTGTATACGGAATGATCGTAATCGACAAAAATGAATATACAGTATTATCACTTTAAATTCAGACAAATGAAAATTATTTTCAGACAAGCTCAACAAAAAATTCAGACTAAAAAAAAATATTTTCAGATTAACTAAGTAGAATTACTTGTAATTTAGAGTATATATTATAAAGTACATTCTTAAGATGTGTGACCCTTTTTAAAATTAATTTATGTATTGGAAGGTTCAAAATATTGATTTGAACTTGTTTAGAGACAGCCTATGAAATCGCAGCCGGAGGCTTATTATCACCGACACTGAAAAAGAGTAAAAGAGTTTAAACCTTTTTTATCTACTAAGTAGAATCACTTGTAATTTAGAATATATATTATAAAGTATATTCTTAAGACGCGTGACCCTTTTTAAAATTAATTTATGTATTGAAAGGCCTGAAATATTGATTTGAAGTTGTTTAGAGACAGCCTATGAAATCGCGGCTGGAGGCTCAATATTACTAACACTGTAAAATTTTCTTAAAAAAAAAAAAATCCACCCACATAAAAAAAATCTATCTATGAAAAATTTCCTTTTATATTACTTGTACTCGTCGGAGATGAATGCTCAAAAATGTTACAACATACGTTAGGAACTACTCGAAAGCAGATGCACTCTCTGGTCGTTTTTTAATTGTCAACTGGCCGGTTGACCGGTCTTTTTTAATTTTCGACCGGCGGGGTGACCGGTCGTCTTTTAATTTTGACCGGCGGGTTGACCGGTCGTCCTTTAATTTTCGAATGGCGGGCTGACTGGTCGTCTTTTAATTTTCGAGCGGTGGGTTGAACGGTCGATGTATACATGTTGAAAGTTGGCTGGAGCGGTTGGTATTTCTAAATCTATTCGACTTTTATGTCATATGAGGTTTCAGCATAATATGTTGTCCTAACAGTTGTTCTGGTTTGCCACAACAACTATCTGAAACAGATTGGGAAGAAATTTGTCCCAGGTATTGTGACAGGGTCGAATAAAAGCGATAAACAATTTTATCAGAGTTATAGAGAGGTTATAAGCACTAGTCTATCAAAATCATAGGGACCTCGTGTAATCTACATTATTTGATATTTAGAGGAAATGTCCGAATATTACAGTGATAATTCATTTCTTGAGACATGACTAAGTAGTTTTCTCCGTCGATACAGAGCATTTATTTTATAATAAACAATTTTCGTTCAAAAGGACAGTTTGGAAGTTTAAAGCCTGATTTTTACTGGGACGGTTTTTAAAATTTTAGGATAGAGAAGTCTAATTTATCGCGATAAAACGTTTAACGGGAGATACCTGATATATTTTTAGGAATTTTTACTCTGTAAAACACCTCCAGAACGTCTTTGGCTCTCCCCACTATAAAAGCTAAATTTGCTTTTGTCATTTGTAAAATATTTCGTGTTCAAAAAATAAGTTGAGCACTATTTTTTAAGAAGAACTCTCTAATAAGGAAGATAATAGAGCAGAATTTTGAAACACGTTGAATTCATGGAGGAGAAAGGGTTTGCTGTCGTATTTGGGTACGAATCACTTAAGAATAATTAAGCAAATTGTTTAAATAAATAAACTTGTCGTATTTGGGTACGATTCATTTAAGAAGAATTAAGCAAATCGTTTAAATAAATAAACTATGAAATTAAAACAACCTTTCATGTTACATACCAGCATACGCTTGTATACTGCTATACAACTTCTCCTACTTCGAGTACATACTTCTATATAAAAGATTGCATGATTGGCCTAAATACGATATACGAATGACAGTTGGATACAGAATGCTATACCACTGAGTTACGATATCACCGATCGAGAAGAGAAACTTCTCAGATCAATCAAGAATTATAAGAAAGAGAAACTTAATATTAATAGTTCTCTCAATGGATTAGCTACCCAGAGAGAGAATAGAACAGCTATTAATATAAATGGTTCATTTACTTATATATTGATATAATTATACTGCTGATAAAGAGTATAAAGAAATAGTGTATGAATTAATGGATACCTAGCTTCTACAACCAAATATACAAATATCGATAAGACATTTTATATTTGGGATCGTAATTTATTCATTACAAAGATAATGAATAAATGATCAACTATTATGTTCTATTGCCAATTACACTTGACAAACAAGTATGCATCTTTTACAGTAACCGTTGCATGATCTGATAAATAAGTATCTCGTAATACTAAAGATTTATTAGCATACTCATGCTCCCGATCCACTGATATGGGACAACGTTATCTGGAAACAATTCTAACGAGTAGTATCCATTTAATCCAAGGCGGGAAACAAAGTATAGATCTATTCCAAAACCAGAAAGGTTGACTCATCATTAAAACTCAGGAGAGTTGTGCAATATAAAAAGGATCAATTATTTCATAGCAGCAGAGTTCTTTTAGTCTATTTTTACCCCTAATAAAAATATACTTTTCTCTCACTACTTTTCTATGTCAAATACCACGTTTTCTCTTCTTTTTAAAAAATCGGAGCAAAAATTGTACATTTTAAAATAGATGCACTGTACAAATAAAATAAAAACCTAATTAACAGTCCAAAAATTTGACCAATTTTTTAAAAATACGGTCGAATTTTGGACCGAATTTTTAAAAATGCAATCGAAATATTTGACCGATACTGACAAGTACTAACGATGGTTTTCGCAAATAATACTATTAGATAATGAAACTGTTAACGTATTCAGTTCACTAGTTGGTACCCTTGTAAACCAAAAAAATTAGATGTCATATATTGAAAAAGAAAGACAATAAGGGGTTTCAGTTCTTCCCCGCCGGATTTACACATTTTTTTTACACATTCGGTAAAATAATTAAGAACCAATGAAATGCTTTTGACATTTTGCAAGAACTGAGCCCCCAAATAAAAAAAAAATTCACACTTTTTAGAAAGACGTTAATTTTAAAGATCCGAGCCAATGAAGTCGTTCCTGATTTCGTAACTTCATAATGAGTTATATAGCAACATTGAATACGTTGTAGTTATGACACAAGAAAAGGTTAATTGAATACGACACATCACAGGGCAACAACATTGTTGAGTTACGGAGAAACTTGCTTCTTCTGTTAAAGGCGAAAGTGACAGCAAAGATGAGGAACGTGTTGTGCTTCGACAAGAGCATACTCCTGCTTTGATTGAAGCAAATACTCCAGAGGAAAAAGAACAACGAATCGTTATGAGAAGAATTTTGAAAGGGTTTTGCCATGAATACAAAAAATTAAAGCATGATATTTCGTGTTTTTAAAACTCAATATGTGTGAAAAAGTGTAAAAAAAAAGTGTGAAACGAAAAAAAAACTTGACATGGTCAAGAGCTCCTACACTTTTTTTTTTACACTTTTTTTTTATGAAAAAATTTCGTGTTTTTGATTGGTTAATTTAAAAGTCAGAATGTGTAAAAAAAATGTGTAAATCCGGCGGGGAAGAACTGAAACCCCTTAATTTATTGAGAAAAAGATCCACAAATGTTTGAATAAAGAAACGCACAAGATGGTTTTACAGATGAAATACGAGACTAACCAACCCATACCAACTTATGGAGCTATTAGTTACACCTGTTATAGATAAACGCGTCTGCGCGGTACTTACCTATAAGATCTAATGTTAATAACGAGTAAAAAAAGATAAGAACGCAACATACCTTAATGAAGAAACAAGTCGTCCAGGTCAAACGTTACTATCTGTAAACTTTCAGTAAATCTATAGAAATATATTGATATTAATAGGAATGCGGGTGACTATAGCGATAAATTATACCTCAAAAAGAATGTAGTTCATTGTTGCAGCAAATCTAAATTGACTTGGTGTTACACAGGATAGGATCTTTCCCATAAATACGCTCCTTTTTTTTTCTTAATAAATATCTCTTCAGTTTAATCTTGACTAAAAATCTAGTTTCTTATTAAATTGTAATTGACTCCTTTGTGTTTCCCTCAACTTTCATACTTCTTGTTTATCTTAAGTCTCTACTTATCATATAACATTTAACTCAAAGTTCATATTTCACACTCGACTTGAGTCTCTTTATTATCAAAACCGTATATAAGATATTGTTTATATTTACATAATTACTTTTCTTTTTATTCTTGGCAATCAGTTTATTTTTATATTATTTACGCCCTCTTAAAATCATCGTTGATTATCTTCTTATCCTAAAAACTTTATATTATAATGTTTCTTAAGTTGACTTCCAGTCTGGAGCTCACTTTCATAGCTACTTTATTATTAACATCGATATTAATAACCTATATTCACTTTATCCATTAGGAACTATTACTAGTGTTTTAACATCATCTACCATGAACGCAGACACAACATTTACTATTCGTAAACTACATCGAACAGAGTTACATAACTGTAAAAGGTTACTTTTATGTTAATTTGGGGTATAAATTATTATACATACTATTTCAAGGTCATTTGTCAAAAAAAAAAACAGAAAAAAAGGACAATAGTTAAGAAAGAAAAACAATTTCAGGTTTATAAATAATGATTTTTTAAACTCAATAGATATTACGTACAGGAACGGTAAGCACAAACATAAAGTCCCTTCCAGTGCGCTTGATAGGTACTTCCAATGATCCCTTGACAATTCTTTGTTTTCTATAACTTGTATCTTTACAAGATGGAAAAATGGGGAAACTAGAAAGAAAGTTTTTAAGAAGGAGGGTGATTTCAGAAAAAGTGTTTGTAGTGATTTGTCGAGTGGCAAAAGTTTGGACATAATACCCGCGGCCTTTAGTACTAAAAACATCTTTTTTGTAATATAAATACTATAATACAACCGTCAATACTTTGTCATAGAGACATTGTCATGAACCGCCTATGTTTCAGTTGCATATAATCATGAGAAATGTCTCAGACCATTATTGAAACCCAACCAGCCCATTGATCTTGTTCCACCTGTTCCCTGTTCTCTGTCTCCTGTCACACATGTCACTGTCAAACGTCAGTATTGTGTCCTGTCTAACGTCTCTGTTGCAAATAATGTATCTCCGTTATCCCTTGTCCTTGTAGAACCCATTTAACATACGTTTCCTTTGTACCTCTGCCTTTGAACTTTCTTGTAAAATATTAGTAATATCAGCCCATGTTATCCTATGTATGTATCCCCGAAATTATCTGTATCCATGCCCGCTATTCCAAACAAAGTCCCAAACTCATATGACTTATAATTTTTCTCTGTAAATATGAACCCCGAACCCTTGTTTACCCGACCTGTCAATTAATATAAATAACAGCACGTTTATTTTTTTTTTATTTTTGTGTTCAAGATCTTATCTATTTTTACTGTTTCTTTGAACAACCTTTTTCTACTGTCATACTTTTATATATATATAAATCAATACTAATCGATATACAATTCTGTTTCTCCTGTACTCACCTTAATAATCATTTTGTTCTGCTCTTGCCCCGCCCCGCTCCTAACAGTATTATATAATATACAACATTTTTTTTAGGTATCTTCAATTATTTAAAGATAAAACATGAGAATAATCAAGTATTCATATTTGAGAAGTGGTCGACAACGGTCACCGAGGGAAGTTTAGTCAAGCCGCATACTTCATTAACAATCTGAGCATTCAATTCGCGCTGTTCAAGTAGCTCGTGGTAAATAGTAGCTAACATCTCGAAGAGGAGATTCCAATTCGCACGCAATTGCCAGGTAGTTGGAACATAGGCAGATCGTACTTCCACAAGCTTCCACTTACCCGATTTTGAGAGTGTCATTTTTGTAAGAGTTAGTGTTTGCTTGATCACCTGAACACCGAATGCGCACTTTTTTGTGATTGATTCGATACTGGCATTCTTATTTTGTTTAATGGTATTAAGTAATGAATTGCTGCATTCAACTAAGAGTTTTAAAGTATCATCCAATGAGTGATTTACCACCTCTTTCTCAAATCCACTGCTACATTCGACAAAAAATTCTTCGTTACTGGTCATGGTGTTTTTCCCCAATGCATCCGCATATTTTTTGTCAACTAAGCTAATCACAAAATCATTATTTTCCAGTACAGCCATGTCTTGTGTTTCCAAGCCCTTTTCGCACCAGCAGAACTCAATAAATTGTCTTTCTTGACTGAAGTACTTGAACATTGGAACTATGTATTTTACGAATGGTGTTCTTTCATGGTTATTGGTACTAGATAATGGCTGTTTGCAATTTGAAGTAAAATCAGTGAGGGTGTAGCTTATTATATCCATTAAGGTACGAGTTGAACCGGTAGAGTTTAATCGAATCTTACTGTTCCATAGCATTCTCACAATGTCCTTTTCATCCGCATTCATGGCCTCGTTGATGAAATCCCTGACACCAGGAAATATATCAAATGAAGCTAATCGGTGTCTATCCTCGGCGTACCTTTTGTAATCCTCCATTGCTTCCCCAATTTTATTGTTATTTGAATTGATCAGAAACTCCATTGCAATGTCACAGAAATCATCAATCGCCTCTCGGTCAGACTTTTGTATTTTCGGCTTATTTGGACAAGTCAGATACGCGGTTGGATGGAATATTGTGAATCTCTTTTTATTTTTATCCAAGGTACAGGTCTGAAATGGCAAAAAATAATTAGTCTTGCGTTTCATCATTTAATTTATTCACATTACCTTCTTTATAGGTCTTGACGATGAACTTTGACTTGTTAAAGTCTGAGGTGAGTGGTGGTTTGGGGTATCTGTCGTTTCTGGGGTTGTTGAAGCCTGAGATGAGTGATGACTTGTTGAAGCTTGAGTCGAGCGAGGATTGGTTTTATTGGTATATTCTTGCTCAAATTCATGAAGACCTTGTCTTGTAAAAGTTGCTCCAAGAAGCTGGGCTTGCAAGTAGGTGTTGTTTCGTTCTTGCGCCACCTTTCGTGCATTTACTCTTGGCTGATTGGCTTCAACTTCCTTATTAAACGCTTTAAGGAATTATCCTTCGTTTTTCTTTTTGAAAAATAACTGTATACTTTTCGAATAAATTCTTTGATATCGATTGGTAGTACGAACGAGCCATCAACTTTTGTTAAATTACACAACGCTGTTTTTATGTCGTTATATACGTTTTGAAGGTCCTCTACCAACATTACATCTTCTTGAAGCCCATGCATTATAGAATTCATGTCCTCAAACGTAGCCACTGAACCTGTCGACAGGTAATCGCGTTTGATAGCCTTTTTTCGTATATCTTCAATAATATAGTACTCCTTGTCAGCTTAGTTTGAAAACGTTTGTATTGCATCACCATGATATAAAACGTAAGCTTCATTCCTTTGTTGCGAGAAGAAAAAATAAATGACTATACAGAGAAAAAAATTTACATGTTCGTGATAAACGTACCAACTGCCAATGCCAACAAGCTACCATTCAAATCCTCTTCATCACAAAGCTTTTTTCCAAATCTTGCCAACTTCATCATATCATTATGCAACTGGATAGTATTGCTACTGCTATCGCTGATCTTCACCTCACAGCATCCAAAATTGTAATCAATGGTTCTTTGTTTTAAAATAACCATCTCTGCATCTGGGCGTTCATCCTCTGTACTAGTACTACGTGTAATTGTCCTAAGGAGAACTATATTGAGCTTACATATTTATTAAAGACAATACAGCAATATTTACCACATAAAATTATGATCTGTATCATTACCATTTAACATCCCATTTAATATTGGATCCAAAAACTTTGTTATCAATTCAGTCTCTTTGATTGTATGATTTAACAAGGGTTCATCAGGAAGCTTATCCATACTACACAGAGTAATAACAGATATCAGTATATATTTCACTTGAGTTACAATTAACAATCCTTACTAAGCTAAAAAAATGTCTAATATCTTGGCATCCAGATCATCTGCTGCTTTGTAAATATCAAATATCTGACACTTTATGTACTTTCGACTTGAATGTTCGATTATCTAAAGTTATCCAATTTGTTAAAAGTAGTGCATCAAATTATCAAGCATAATATCGAAACTTACAGCCATCGTATTTCCCAATTCTGTCAATAACTTTCCTTCAACCCTCAATTCCAATTCCAAGAACTCCTTTTTTAAATCATTATGGTAGCATACCAAATTCTTGTTTCGAATACAAGACAACATTTCTTCAAAATGTTGTTTCTTCACAAGCAAAAGAATATGATCCAAGGCCCTAGAAGTTGTGTTTTAATTAGTGTAAAAGAAATGAGCATAACATACATATACATACAATAATTGCTGTAGGTTTCTATTTATAAGAAGTCCTGGACTTTCTGCTAATGTTTGTGCTTCTTCCCGGATTACATAAAATCCTTCGATTATATTGTAACCATTACTTGCTTTTTCGTGCACTTCTTCCATATCTCCCGTATCTTCCGTATCTCCCGTATCTTCTGTGTCTTCTACACTACCACCATTGTTGCGAATGATTCTGCCTCTGGCACTTCTTCCAGCCACCAAAACCCCAGTCTCCAGTGTTCTGTTGCTCTCAATTTGAACACCTCTCTCCAGTCTTGCTTCTGCATAGAACTGCAATATAAATTGCAAAAGTGTTGACTCGCGTTTGGTTTTCAAATTGTTTTATAAACAATTTGGTTTAGTCTTTATGACCATCCACAAATTGCGCGAGTGAGGCGTGATTCTTGGTTCCTTTCAAATAGTCTCTAATACCTGCAGGAAATACTACGCTTAATTCATTCATTCTTCCTCAATGCAAATTTTACTTACTTGTAGAAATAGAAGACATTCTTTTAGCGAATTAGAATAATGAAGAGGTACAGTGCTTCAACTGCCATTTGGACACTTTTTTGAAATCATTGGTTGGAAGTTAGAAACCAATTGCACTACAAAATTTTCCAGCAGTTTATTCGCACCTTAAACGGATACCGGCGGTACTGGCAATATTTTTGACGAGCAAGTTTAGGAAGCGCCGGGTTACTTTGAGGATATATCATTTCCCTTAACAGATTTGACAAATCTTCCAAAATGTATAAAACACCAGGACATTCAGGTTGAAGCAAGATTTTCAGCCGACACCGAGACGAAAGAGGCTGATCTGAAGAAGGAGAGAGTTCTTCAGTATGATATCTATTCACTCGAAGATTGTGAGCGTTGGTTTTAGAAAAGCTTATAAAACCAATGCAAGCAGCTCTAGCAGCCAAGATCAATTATGGCACTGCTAGCAAATGGAAAAAGACATACAAAGGAAGACCTTAGAAAAACCCCGGTTAAAAAAAATACCCAACAAAACGCTTGATATACCTACCGGTAAGCTAAACGAAACCCATAAAACTCATTTAGTCAATTACTTTTGATGAAGATTCGACGGCAACAATCCAAAACGTAGTAGAAAAATTGGACTTAATTCGGATGAGTACAGTGGAAGATACACTAAAGTGTAATTGTCAGGAACGAGGCTAGGATTATATTATAGCAATTATATCCGAAGATACCTACTAGTTATACAAAGACAAAAGGAGAATGGTTTACGAAGTATTTAATAATAGTAATTGATTATTCAAGGAAGGGGAAGGAATACAAAAAAATCAACATGGAACGGGGGAGTATTTATATCTTTTCAGATAACATGGGTTTGCATTTAAGAATGTCTTGGCTTACTTAATTAGTCTTAGTGTTGGTTTCAGCTTACGCGGCCGAAACCCATGAGTCATAATTACTGATTGCTTGGCGTCGGAGATACTTGGAAACGAGTCATGACTACTAATCTCTTGGAAGTGGGGGCTCATTGCATGGATAGTCTTGGAAGGTCCTAGAAGGTTCTGGACACTGGCATTGTTGAATCTCAGCGTGAGATTCCAGAACATTCCAGTAGTCGGGGATTCGTGGTCAGGGGCAAAGTGCTAAGTACGTGGTTTATGACAGTAATCTTGCTGCATAATTATGAGCTCTATCATTTCAGGAACATGAATTGAACCATTTTCCATAATACAGTGCTTCCACTCTCATTTTACCGAATGTTTGAAAACTCCGCCCACTTTTTGAAAATAATTGACCGGGAAAAAGAGACTAAATTGCCCAGCTTTTTGAAACTAAATTAAATAGCTTTTTTAAAATAAAATAACCACTTTTTACAAATAACTTAACCTACTTTTTGTATTTTAAATATTTCTTTTAAAAAACATTTTCACTACGAAAATGGTAGAGGCGATATTGTAGACAATTCTGAAGATGAACCAGACGCTTACTTGGTCGAGCCTTCATTTCGTTCTACCAATTTGACGAATTTGAAAAAATACATAAAAAACAAAAAGATACCGATCGAAGATGAGGCAAATGACGTTGAAATGAAGGAAGCACCAACAAAAAAAGAAAGATTCTCTACGTACAACACCTATTCAGATGACGACCACAAAAGATATTTCTATTTTATTAAGGAGAAACTCATGACTCCCTCTCAAGCAGCTAAAGCTGCCAATGTTCAATATGAAACTGCTCGAAAATGGAAAACGATCTACGAAAAAAACCACGACGAGGGTATTCCTCTTAAGAAAACGAATCGCGTAAACAAGCCTGTGAGTAAATTGAATGAAGAGCATAAGATCTTTATACAAAACTTTTTTGACAAAAATAAAATAGCTGTTATACAAAACGCTGTTGAGAGCTTGACAAAGAACTCTGAGGGCTTGGAAAATAAGAAGAGTAGAGTTGCTGAGTTTATGAGGAAAGACTGCAACCTTACTATAAAAGTGGTTACTGGCCATCCTAAGCGAAGAAACGGCAGCGATACGTTAGACAAACGTGCCCAGTTCGTAAAAGAGTGAACTGAGAAGGGAATGTTTTTTATGCATAACTGTGTGTTTATTGACGAGTCTGGCTTCGACATTAACATGCGCCGCTCAAGAGGTTGGTCAACGCGACGAAATCAAGCAGTTATTGTAAACACCCTCTGCAAGAGCCGTCTCGCATACCATTATCGGTGCTATTATAGCATACAGTATTTATATATAACTTTAAGAGATACAGGAAATGCGAAGAAGAGAAGGATCGAGGGTGCCCAGAAGCGGAAAACGACTGATGCGGCAGTTAAAGCAATTCCTAAGGGAACTACAACTAGATATTATTTTCAGTTTATTAGTGACACAATGGATATTATGGATGAGTATGACTACATGAAGGGATTTCATCTTGTAATGGATAACGCTCCTATCCATGTTAAAGCTGTTGTCGATCCTATAATCATCAAGAGGGTTTATATACCCGTGTATCTTCCTCCCTATTCTCCAGAGCTTAATCCCATAGAGCAGTTTTGAAAAGTGTTGAAGGATAGAGTCAGAAGAAACAAGTCGAATAATGTAGAAGATCTCACCTCACGAATTGTCGAAGGAAGCGAAGATGTTCCAGTTGAACATTTGAAGAATTTCATTAAACATTCCATAAACTGTTTCCCTACATGCTTAAAGAATCTTCGCAATTTATTTGACTAGAAATTGGTCAAACCATTTGTAAAATGTGATCAATTTATTTTCTTCGCACAAGTGTGCAATTTTGTTCAAAATTTTAGTAACTTGAGAGTGGAAGCACTGTATGTACCTCTCTAATATGATTTTCATTTTTGGAGACAAATAGCAATTCCCTTTGGTCGTACTCCTAAAGACAAACTGACGAGGTTTAAAAAACCACCTGTCAATATTGACCATCAGGCAATCAGAACAAAATTTACCGCCGCCCCTACCCTGGTTACATCCGAGTAAACCAGTAATACGACATTTGAAGGTGAACAATCGTCTTTTGCTTAGAGACCACAAGTATAAAACATATATAGGGAATCAAGCATCAGGTAGCCTGAGGAACAAAGGGAAAAGGCCAACAGAAAACGCCTATGGTTCTGATCCTTTGGCACCAACAATGCTTCTTTACGGTAACCTGGTGGTCAATTTTTAGACCGCCATTTCTTTCAATAGCCTTCTTTCCTTTTTGAAAGTTTTGCACCGAAAACTCCCTTCAGAATCCACACCATCAAACTCGATCTTTTCCGACAGAATCTCCACCTCGTTTATGTCATAAAAGACCTGATCTTGGGTAGGATCTGAATCAATAAACGCATCTTCATTATCGTCATTGGAAATGAATACAGCTTCTTCAAGTCGAGATAGTTACGCATACAGAGCGTTCAACAATCCAAAAGGAAGTAGTTTGTAACTGTGATTTCCGAAATGTGTGCCAACAGTTAATTTAGGCACACTCGTCTCTTCTACTTCAATGGCATAAAACCCTTTGAGCATATCACACGAGGAAAACCAATTGATACCAGACAGCGTTTCGATCACATCGACTACAGAAGGTAAAGGCCAGGTGTCTCGTTTAGTTACTGCATTCAGACTCGAAAAGTTGACGATCAACCGCTTTTGCCCATTTGCCTTTTTGACATAACGACAAGGAAAGCTCCAACCTCCATATGCCGCATTGTTTAACGAATGCGAAATAGGGATAAGGATCCTAGCTTCAATCATTTTTCTTAATATCTTCCGTCATATATTCCCGTTCTGAAAAGGAGAGAAAATGGTAAGGTCGATTATAGATTGGAGCAGCGTCACCAGTTTCGACGCAAAACTTGACTAAATTGGTGATTTTAAGATCATCATACTCGGTACCGAAACTAGTGGGGTGTTTTTCTAGCATCTCAATGACCTTGCGCTTTTCTTCTTCATCCAACAAGACATTTTGTAAGATGTTCTTGCAAAGCGGACCTAACTTAGGAAAGGGAGAGTAGTGAGCTTGTTTATCCGATTTGTCTTCAGCTAACATGGAGAACTCCTTTTCGATGACCTTTTCTTCGGTAGGTACTAATAAGAAAAATTCTTCTTCGTCATTTTCCTTGAGCTCGTAATCGTCCGGAATGTCAGATTCGTCTGAAAAATCATCATCATCCTGATCTCTTTCCTTTACAGATAAGTTGCTTTTCTTGGTGTACCAAACGTCGATAGGTATTTTGCCCACAGTGGTGGAGATGTAAAAACTGTGATCGGTCCAATCATTTCCGATCCTGAAATCATGCATCCCATGACGACCCAAGATGAAATCATATTGATTTCTCACGTCATAGCAATATGCATCGACGTTTACAACTGCAAGATTCGATAGTTCTACCCGAAGACCTCTGACCTTTCCCAACGGGGACCTGGCTACACCATCAGTTGTTTTGCATGGAAAACAAAATAAAAAATAAACCAAAAGTGATACTGTTAGAACTTGGATACCACTT